ATATATATATATATATATATATATATATATATATATATATATATATATATGTATAAAGTGCAATATAAACAAAAGTTTTAATAGATTACCTCTTAATTTAACGTGCAAGATCTGTACTTTTGTTCGACATGCATGAAACAAATCCAATTTATTTCGGATGTTTCTGATATTTATTTCTGAAAATAATATCCACGTGATTAACGCCCGTTTCTATCAACGTTGTTCAAAACTTAATCTGTGATTAAATTTTTGTCTGAATAGAATCAAAATTTAGATTGAAGTTCAATCGATGTTGGTGGAAACGGGCATAGGAGATTGGCTCGCGCGTTGTCAAATATTTTAAATACTGTTAAATTAATTGTGCGTGCGCTTCATAACATTGCTACAGAATGGAAGGGAAAGGCCCGATGTCTTCGTCATCGTCTGCGTTGAACGCCACAAACGTTTCGACCATTCAGTCAGACTTCAAGGAATCCAGCAAGAAGAAACCAAGTTGCAGGGACGCAGGTAGCGGTGGTGCCAACGTGGCGACAAGTGGCAGAATAAAAGATAAGAAGAAGGAGAATCACGCCACTCCTATGGAAACCAGCGACGAGGAGGCACCGACGATCGACGTAGTCGGTGAGTCTAATTAATATTTCTCCGTTTCCTTGGTTAATTTGTCTCGAGCTGGTCTCGAGTCTACCGTTAGACACGTACATACCCATTTTCCAATCATTTACATTAAAACACGATTACAATTTGTGTCCGCGAGCTATCCATAAAACCCGAGTGGTTCGAGCGCAAACCGCCACAAAAATACGCGATTAATTGATGACGCTAAAATTAATAGAATGGATATGTAGTGCAGACCGATTCATTATTGCGAAATTATTTTGGCCTTCGAAGGGTTGATCTAATGCGTTGACAATACGAATGAACAAACTTTCAATTATCATATTCGTTCCATTATCGATATTCTTCTCGGAGAACATCACCGATTTATTGACTTCATTATGTTGCTTTTACGATGGAAATGACGGGATATTTAATAACATTATCATCTCTTTCTCTCTCTCTCACTCTCTCTTTCTCTCTCTCTCTCGCTTTTGTTGTAGTTTATTTTGCATTATGTGGATTTATAATTCGAAGAATAATCTCGGAAATATTAGCATATCATATCAGATGGCGCACATTTGGTTAAATTTGGGAATTATCGACACGCGCATTATCCAAATACAAAAATTGGTCGTGCAATAAAATGAAGCTTCGAAAATTTTTCCGGGGTAGATAACAAACGACATTGAGTTAGCTTGGACGTACAAAAGCCGGGTGTTTAGCTTTCATATGAAACCAATAACGTTAGGATTAACTTTTAGACGCGCAGATGTTTTATCTACATAAAGAGATTAGTTTCTTTGCTTTGTCACGACTAACACTTTTCTCGTGACTAGATTGCCGTATGCATCGAAAACGCGGTTATATGGCTACTACGTGACTATGTCGCACATTTCTGCGCAACGTGTTGATAAACGAAGCGTGTACCAAAATGAAAAACGCGGTTGCAATGTGTTTTTAACACGTAACATCCGTGAATGCAGACAAAAAGAGAATGATCGGTGTATCAGTGACTAAAAACAAATCAATATAGTTCTCCTTCGGGTGTCCTCCTTTTAAACTATACGGGAAGAAATCTTAAGTTCGTGCAACAGAATGGGAAATCTTAGTATCGAGAAAGCATATCTCTGTTGTCGCAACCGAAAATATTGTTCTAAACGTTTGATTGCGATAAAACTCACTTGAGATACTCTCTTAAAGTGAATCAGTGAATAGTCACTGATATCAGTTATAAGTATAGCACTGAGCAGTTTCAGTACTGTACTTATAGCTGCAAATCAGTGTATATTTCCTGCTTTCAATGATGTTTCACTGATTCACTTCAAGAAAGTAACGGGGAAGAATTGAATGAACGGAGATCTCCCGCAGGACTTGTTCTGTCCCTCCAATCGAACAGTCGTCTGTTACCGCGGACAAGAGAAGATTAGTTACAAAAATTGAATTGTTTTCCATGTCATGATTCCTTTATTTCTAAGATGACGCAAAAATGTGTCTTAATAATGGAGGAATTAAATCTAATATCCATTTCGTTACATTCTAAAGTAGTAGTCCGAGATTGATCGAAGTAATCTACTCGCGATTAAATACTCGACACGAATATCGATATCTTGAATTCTGTTCGCATGCTCTATATCTTCCTTGGAGGGGGAAGAGCAGAGAATAATGGCAATGTCGTTCCCGCGTTTTGTGAATGTTCATCTAGAGAACGAGAATCGGAAGAGTAGTCCGAAAGAGCGATTTTGAGTCACACCTTCAGACCTTCAAGATTTCAGACTCGCTCATCTCGAGAAAGAGCGGTGTGAGTGATGGCGAACGAACACGGACAAACTCGAGTGAAAGAATCTTGCAGAATCTCGTCTTTATATTATTGCCTTGTCCAGATACACAATTACACAGCACGTATAATACATTATTTCGTGAAGTACACACGATCAAGTGCTCGCGCATAAGACTCAATACTACCGAAAGAGTCTCGGGCGCGCTTCCTCCGGAAAAATCACTACGGGGTACTCGTTAATACATTTAGCCCTCCGCGGACGTGTCTCGTCCGGATACCTACTCCTTGACGAGAACACGAGCTGTCTTCCTGCGCCTCTCTCCTCACGGAGCGTCGACCATGTCGCGAGGAGTCGCGCCTCCGCCCGCGTCCGCGGCCACCGCGGCGCCTCGTCCCTCTTCGTCGTTCGCGTGGCACAGCTTCCTGTGCTTGTGCACGAAGTAGTAACTGGGGAACTTGCAGCCGCAGATCTTGCAGGGATAGTACTGCACGTTCAGGTCCAACAGGCGGACCTCCCGTCTCCCGGTGGTGGCGCGCGCGGCTTCCTGCCTGGGGGCCGAGTCGTTGGCGGCGTCCCCAGTTGCTGCCCCCTCGTTGATCCTCGTCGGCAGCAGGTGCCGCTTGGCGTGCTTGCGGTAGCAGTACTGCGACTTGAACGTGTGCTTGCAATAGCCGCAAGTATAGCAGTTGCCGGCGTTGTTGGCGGCGCCGTTGCTGCCGTCGTTGCTGGAGTCGTTGCTGGGGCTGCGCACGATTCCGCCTCGCGTCGTCGCCGCCGGCGGCACGGTCGCCATCGCCGTCGGCCCGCCGTTCTCGTCGTTCTCGCTCGACAGGTCCTCGCGATCCGCTTGGCAGTTCCTCTGCTGCGGGCCGCGTGTCTGCGCGCTGCCGCCGCCACTACCGCCGCTGCCGCCGCCGCCGCCGCCGCCGCCGCCGAGCACACCGTACGACGTCGACGACGAGTAGTTCTCGTTCAAGACCCGGTGAAAGCGCACCGGGCCGTCGCAGCATGCGATGTCGTACACCACGGAGAAGACGGTGCTCGAGGACGACGCGGACGAGGGGCCGGTGGTGGTCTCCTTCGCGCCGCTTGTGCCCGAGCGGGCTCGTCGGCGAGACGAGCGCGCCCGGTCCGAGTGTTCCGACGTCGTGTCGCCGTTGTTGCTGTTGTTGCCACGGCTGCGGATCGCCCCGTCGTCGCCGGAAATCGACCTGTGTTGCGGATCGTTGCACGACCTGCCGGCGGGCGCGATGTGCTGCTGAGTCTCGATCTCGCGTTCCGAGGTCGCCGTGATCATGGACTTGTGGTTGTGGTGCTGCGACGACACCGTCGCCGTGGGCGAGTGCGTCCGCGAGACGGTGGACGGCGCCGGCGAGATGGAGCGCGACGGCGACGACGCTCTGGTGGAGTTGGTAGCGCCGCTCGTCACGGCGAACGCGGTGAACGCGGCCGCGGCCGCCGCCACGAACGGCAGGGCCACCGTCGACACGATCTCCGGCGTCCGCGAGCGGGAACTCGGTCGTTGGCGCTTGCGATGGTGCACCGTGTGCGTCGGCGATGACTGCGGCGACTTGCCCGTCGACACCTCGTTGACACTGCAACAGTTGACGCATATTTCACTCTCGCTTGGTCGCGCTTGGTTCCTCGACAGACATTGTATCGTCATTGCTATTTTTATTCCTTACTGCTGTAATTGTCGTGTATCGTTACGTTATGTATCCATACACGCTCTTCTCTCTTTCTGCCGACAAGGCCGAAGACCATCTCGCTGACAGAAAGTCTCGGTTGTTTTGAAATCCGACGAAGGACGATTATATAGTACCGGTCAGATTAGTAATCACGAATTGAAATAACGATGGCGTACGTCAAGGAAACCGATTAAGATCGAGGTCGTTTCACTGATAAAGCGCCTTGGTCGACTAGAAATTCGACAGCAATAATACCAATCAAAGCAGTAATCGTGATTAAAATAATCATACAATATTCGCAAAATGAATAGGATGATAACTTGAAACAGATTTATGGTGACTAATTTTCAACACACACGCACGCTCTCTCTTCCTCCCCCCCCCCCCCCCTCTCTCTCTCTCTCTCTCTCTCTCTCTCTCTCTCTCTCTGCGAACCTATAATGCGCGCATTGCTCCTGCTTGTCCCTCGTGCCGGGCGCCACGACGTTGATGCTGGGTGGCACGGTCGGTTGCATCAGCACCGAGGGTGGCATCTGCGGTAGATGCGGCATCGCGACGGAGGCCGGTGCCGGTGCAGTCGGTGCGTAGAGCGGGGTTGTCGGGGGCCAGCAAAGCGGCGGACCCACCAGCAGCCTGCTCGGTATTGGTCTTAATATGCTCCCGGTGCCCGGCGGCGACGTCGCGGCCGTCGACGTGGACGTCGGCATCGGCGTCGGCAGGGCCGGCGGCGCCCTCAGCCTCAGCAGCGCGGCTCTGCACTGCTCGAGGGCGCCCGGCATATGCAGCAAGTGTGTTGCCAGCAGGACGCTGTACACGTTGTCCAGTGTCACCTCCAGCCGCCCGGTGTACATGTAGTTGAGCAGAGGCGCGAACGCCTCCCCACCTGCCATCAGCGGATCGCGAGGGGTCAGAGGTTGCGAGGTTACTATCTTATTAACTGAGGTTTTTAGCAAAAATATACAAAAATACGTAGTATACAAAAATACGTAACATACAAAAATACGTAGTATACAAAAATACGTAATATACAAAAATACGTAGTATACAAAAATACGTAATATACAAAAAAAAGTAGTAATTGAAATTGAGTAGTAATTGAAATTGATAAATACATGTTACTAGAGTTCTCGTGGGATTTTGTAGCCGAGGTACATGTCAACATTATGCCTTCGCGTATCATCTTCCGTATGTTTCATATGTATTGTTTACGTTTTACGAGCACGGGTCTATATTAGTATGGAATTTGCCATGTTCCTTAGGGAGCAAGATAAAGTCTATTCCTAATCTTCTCTTGAAAAGAGAAATGGTAAAATTGAAAAGAATGCATATGTAAGAAAGTCATAACATTCTCTCGATCTTTAATTTGCTAGCCGTGATTTTCAACGATTATCAGTTATTCTGAAAATTCCTTGCAGTAAAGTTTCGCTCAAAGCAAGTGGAAATTTACTAGAAATGATAGTAAAGATATTGCTATTCCGAATTACAAGACTGAATTTTTGTTCAGACTTAAAGTGCACTTTTAATCCGTACGAGTGAGTGCTTCAGTTGATTAAAGGAAATTCTTTATTGATTCTAGTGAATATATAAAAGATATTGATATTTGCTCTTCTCAATTTTTCGAATGAAGATATTCACTCAACATTTCAGAGTGGAAGAATTCACTCCGAAAATGAATAAACAGTGATTACTCAGCTTTGCACGACTAAGCTGTCAAAAGACATTTCTTGAACAGAATTTTACTTAGGACAAATTTCGGGAGCACAAAGGGACCGGTTTTTTTTTTAGTATCGCGGTCTCTTCCTCGTGACGTCCAAGGTGACGAGTCAACCCTGGCTGAATCTACAATCAGGTCAGATCGTATTGAGTGCAGAAGTTATGAATCGCGTCGAGCGCGTGTCGTTTCCGAAAAGCGCAGTAAAAACAGTCTCCCCCGCCGTTTGTGAGCTGGGCGGTTCAATTAACGGATTGGATTGGATTGGATAATTATTGGAAAATCCCAATGAAAGAGATTGGAAGTAACAGTGGCACCGCGCGACCGATAAAAGTTCGTTAATTATTCAATCTCGCTGCCGACTGATTGTTATTATTTGAAAGTACTTCGGGAAATACAGCACAGGTGCAACGGGCGGTGAGTTGACGTGCTGAATATCGCACTGACCGGTAAACCGGCGGCGCCGGTGCAGTGACTGATGCGTGTCATTAATTCGCTAATCGCGTCCAACAAAACAGACCCACCGCCGGTGAGAGAAAGAAAGAGACGAGATAACGAAAAAGGCAGAATAAATACGTGTCATGTTAGAATGGTCAATCCTATCAAAAAGACTTGGATCACTCGCATTTGCTCGATAATTTCTACGTTACCCCAAATCTGTGCAAAATTAGTTGTGAAAGAATGAAAGAAAGGGATAAAACAAACTTGGGCACACTACTAATGTCTCGTAAATTCGATCGTGATCTCTCGACTTTGATCCCAACCTATCGATCAGCATCGAAATCGGCGCCTTTTAAACCTCGATCTATATTTACCGACGGACGAGACCGAGACGGAGGTGACCGGTTGCGAGCGTTGCGACTGGCCGATCGTCACGGCGGCGACGGTCGCGCAGGCAGGGTCAAAGGGCGAGCAGCTCGCCGATGCTGACGAGCCGCCGCCACCGCCGCCACCGTCACTTCCGTCGCCGGAGGAGGACGGGGTCGACATCGTCGTGGTGGCTGCCGTACTCGTTAGCAGTGCTTTCAGATATCCGCTGTGGGCTGCGAGCACGCCTTTGTGCGCCACGAACTGGTGCTCGCCCTCGTTACCGACTCGCACCACCGTGTCCGGTGGCGAGAAGGTGTCCTGGAGGCAAGGGTAGTTACTCGTGGCCGCGGCACCGCCGCCAAACCACGCTCTGTACAAGCCGTACATCGTGTCCGTTGTACTTCCGATCTCCTCGCGAAGACCACTCCGTGGAATGCGACGGAATGCCGTCTTACTCTTACTGCACCAGCCTTGACGCGATTTCGCCCTGTGAGGAATGACCTCTTCCCGTCTCCTCCGCTTTTCGACCCCTGATCTACGTTTATTATGCCTCGATCATAACGTGAGCGTGATTGTGCTTCGCTTGTGCTTGGAAGATTGGGAAAACTGTAGACTCTAGTCGCGACCCTCGTCCTGCGAGAAAAGACTTCTTCGCCTCCTCGCACTTTTTTCTCCGGTCTTCTACTCTGGTCCGCGTCCACGTGCCTTGATCATAACGCACAAACGTATTGTGCCTCGCTTATGTTTGAAAGATCGTAGACTCTAGTCGCGATTTCGTTCTGCGAGGAAGGTCTCCTTCGGCTCATCACGTTTTCTCTTCCAGTTTTTTGCTCCGTTATGCGTTCACTGTGCCTTCGTCATAATGCGAACGTATTATGCTTCGTTCATACTTGGGAAATTAGGAGACTAGGAAAATCGTAGATTGACGGGCACGCGAGCTTTACGATCGAGACCACCGCTTCACGGTTGAGGAAAGGAGCACGCGATGTGAGTGACATGTCTGTGACGAGGCCATCGTCATTTCCATTTTATCATTACTCGTTCTTCTTCACAGAAGCCATGAACAAGAGTCTCAAAAGTTCAATATCGATTCAATCTTCACGTTCCCCCGCGACCCTTGTCAAATCTCAAATTCTATCGCTCACAGGGGCGATTCAGCTATGATCTCCGCACCCGCGCTTAATTGAAGGTCGAGTTATCCTGTAGGATGATGACAGGTTGCCTTGCGGAACCGTAGCACTCGCTAAAGTGGTACATAGATCGAGAACGTGGAACGAAAAACCGAGATATAATATTCACGGACCCGACCGACACTGCCGGCGCGCGATCAGCAATGAACTCTAAGAATATCATTGGCTGCACCTTATAACAGCTAATGACAGCTCGAGACGCGGAGAGACGCGACCACGCGCGATCGAGACTCCCATCGACCAGTGATGATACTCGATCGATCGCCACTCTCGAGGACGGCGTATTCGCGCTCGCGAGCAGGCCGAGACGAACCGATCTCGCGGTTCTTCGTGATTTGAACGCCGGAGCGAACCACCGCCTCCACTACCGCTGCTCGCCGACGTGTCACCTCCACCACTGTTATCACTTGCGCGTAGGACATGCTCGCTTTTTCGAGCGTTTCTACCACCTACGCGGCGCGTAGGGCCGGCTCAATCCCCCCCCCAGGAACCGCCCCCGACGAGAGCAGATTGGCGGCGGTTGCCGCCGTCGCGAGATCGCGCCCGTCGGACTGCACCTGCGCCCGGCGACCGCCGCGAACTAGAAGGATGCGCTCCTGATCGCGCTCCTACGTTGTGCTCCGCGAGACGAGCGGAGGATACAGGGTAGATTTCGCCGGTGTTGCGTGACGGCGTCGTCCGTGGGACGAGGTTGGTATTAAGGATATTAATCGGCCACTGGAGTTTCGCGAAACGGTTGTTACAGGGATGTTTGTAATCGCGTTTCTCTCTAATCGCGCAATCGAGGGATGTCAAGTTCTGGGGTCACTCTCGCCGATCAACCCCATACATTGGCACTTAATCGCCGCTCGCGTGGGACGCAAGCGCTCATGTAGGTCGACCCTGTAGAGAGAACAGAAGAGAGAGTTAAGGCACACACCTGTCATAGAGATGCGCTTGACGATTTTGGGTTGTAAACAGTAGATCCTGGGGCAGACAGACGTGAGATTCCAACGCAAGGTCTCGAACTGATCAGCGAATAGAACCGGCAGAATTGCCGATACGTATTTTTGCCGGTGTATTGGAGACCGGGTCAAATTGTCATGCGTTTCGTTTATGTATTCATTGCGGCAGGACAGCAGAAAGGGAATCGCAAAATGTTCCCTTTGCGGACGTAGAAGCGTCTGTGTTCTGAGAGGAACATTTTGTCATCTCTTTTCCGTTGTTCCTCTCGCGACAGGCACACAGACGGACGCGTGACCAACTTAGCCTTGCCTGTCCTAATTTGTCGTTTAACAATAATCAAGAAATGAGTCACGATAAAATTGATTAATTCTACTTATTTCAGTGAAGTGCAAACACAGCGATACACAGCAAACACAGTAATAAATACACATACATATGCATACTCGGCTCTCTGACAGCGATTTTAAGTTGCCGATTGGACTAATCAGAGTTCGTCGAAGATCATTCACAATCTACGGATCATGAATCATCATCTGTACCAGGCTTAATGTTCTGATATCGAACCTTGTTTTTCTTTAGATTGAGCATATCTTTTCGATGTAAGTAATAATTTGATACATATCACCGCTTCGTGAAAGCGTCCGCAACTTTCGGCTTCGAGCTGCAGGTAACCGAGCCGATGACTAAGTGCACTATTTAGACCACGATTAGAGCGCATTGTAAGTTACGAGTCTCGTGCAATTTTCTTAACGCGTTATTGCCGGGAGCCCCTCAATTATAACGTGGCGTGACATAATGGCATAGATAAATTGCAGCCTGAATTGGGAGGTTACACGCACACTCGTGTATCACGACATGTCATCAGCATCGTTCGCGATAACATTGTTTTTTCTTTTTTTCAATGTGCAGCTATGCCTGCTGCTCGTACATGCACACAAACTCACGCGTGCGCATACGTGAGACTTGATCGCGTATGAATTTTTCCGCAAATCGACGGACAATCGGGAAGGGGACTTACGAAGCCGCGCGATTGTCCGCGAGAACGATAAAAAAAAGTCGACGACGCTACAACAAGTACTCATCCGCGCTCGAGGAACGAGAAGCGAACAAATGTGTCTCGTGTACGGCGGGTGGTGGTAGCGCGCGGCGCAGCGTTTACAGCGATAAGCGTAAACGAAAGCCGACGTGTTTGTCGGCTTTAAATGAGACGTTAAACGCGAGCCAGAGCAAACGAGCGAGAGCCAACCAGCCAGCCAGCCACGAGAGAATGTAACGATAGGAGAGAAGAGAGATGAACAAAGAGAAGAGGAGAAAGAAGAAACATCTTTCGAGTGCTGCCGACTAGATGAGAGGAGAGGAATCGCTCTCTCCGCGCCTTTAGGAGCGGAGAGAGCCATCTTTCCTCGTGAGATGCGTCTTTTGCCGGTCTCTTCTTTTCTCTCGTCTTCTCTCCCCTCTCTCTTTCTTTCTCTCTCTCTTCTTCCTCTCCCCCTTTCTGTCTTTCTCCGCTCTCACCCGCGCCTCTGGCCTCTGATGTTTTTCATCAAATTAACTCTCGCGGCACGAGCAAGCGCGCTCCTCTCCACCGCTGGGCTGCCGTGTTTGCATAATATCGTTTATAATTCAGCTCGCGCTGAATTCCACTTTATTCCGACCGCGATCGTTCACCGCCGCCTCCCCGGCCCTCTTCTTCTTCGTTCTCTCATCGCGTATCCACCACCTCTCGCCGAGTCCGTCGAGCACCGCTCAGCGAACCAGCCGAGTCCAACCTCGCCACTCTCATCCTCTCTCCACACTCGATCCCTCGACTTTTACCCTCCTTGGTGGCGCGAGCGACCGCCAGCGCACGTGTCAGCGCCTTCGGCTCTCATACTCGCGAGAAAATCAAGCCGCGTGCACACATCTTCGCACGAAAGTGTTCTCAGAGCTCGGCGAGACTGGCTGATGTGGGAGTAGCGAAAATAACGCGCGAAGAAATAAGCCAATTCATCTGGACGTAAAACGCGAGAGAAGGGAAACCATAGGTCTTTGACAGTTTTCTAAATTTCTTGGGATGGGATATGAAAGCCAATAGACATTCATTTGAAGCGATAGTGAATAGATACTGCCATCGGGAATTGTAAGGGTAAATGTTCCACTCAAGCTTAGAGTTGACTCTGACTGCGCACGAATGAATGTTTCAATCGATCAGGGTGAATTGGTTCCTGTAACGGTTGGAATATACCGTCAGATTTATTCCCCAATTTCAAGTGAAAATATTTACTCGACGATCCAGAGCGAAGAATTCGCTCTATATGAGTGAAAAGTCATTTGAATTCGAACGACTTTCAACTTGCCACTCTACTTTTAGAGCGAAATTTCACTCTAAGAAATTTTGGGGGCACAATCTCCCGCCTCCTGCATCGCAATCCGTGGTTGCCATCATAAGCCGAAAATTCGAGCTTAATCCGCCTCAACTTCTTCAGGGAGAGAAACGCACACATATATATATACATTTGGATACATTCTCTTCATTTTTCTCATCCAAATTGGATATTATCGTTAAATGACTAAAAATTCGTCACAAAATTCCACCGGGAAATCTTCTATCGACACTCTATGATTGACAAATGTTATATTTGTCATTTTTAAATTAAATCACTTTCTTTTGCTCCTCATCAATTCATCTTTGAATACGTTAGATCGGCCATTAATTTACCGACGTATCGTTATTGTTCGTCGATGGATTATCAGCGTGTGACTATCGCGCAGATCGCGATACAGACATTGTTTCTTTATTCCCAGACGAGAACGCCAGCGACGTTCGTTGCATGGGCCGAGTCGGCCGCGATTTTTCGCGACGCGCGTCCATAAACAAGCTGCCGCCGCGATCGCGAGCGAGAGAATCCGTCGTATGCCAGGATCCAGAATGGGACTCGGCGATTACGCACATTTCCCAGGAGGCCGTCGTTTCAAACCAGAGCTAACACAGAGGTAGAGCACACCCTCTTCGCCCTCCATCCATCCATCTGTCCGTCCCGTCCCGTCTCGCCGCGCTGCGTCACAACTACCCCCTACCGCAACATCGTCGCGATCAACGAGTATCGTCGAGATTGTCGTTGCTGGACGGTCTCTATGTCGTTGCAATAGCAATCAAACAACGTGGAACACAATAGGGAGAGAAGGATAGTCCTTGCAAAATTTGCCCCAGTGGTAATCACGTGTAAACGCCGTTGATACACCGAGAGAAAAGTGTTTGGTATTTGTAATAATCGCATAATCGCAATTGCACAGAAATAATTACAATCAAGGATCTCATTTTTGTAGTGCTCTACCGCAATAATTTTGCACGCATATTACCATTGCTACTTTTTTTTCTTTA